ATTTTTTGTAAGCCACATCAAATCGATTCAAAATATACCGTATTATATCGAAAGTTCACTGAATCTGGATATGTATCGTATCGTGGCCTGTGTATCGTCTCGGCAACTTCTTAATGACACCCAGCCCTAATCTGCACCTCCTGCTTCTGTTGCAGCTCAGGGTCTGACAGGAGCAGAGGTGCACAGACAGTGAAGGATGTTTGATAAACGGCGATATAATGTAGTTTAAGTGATTATACTACAATTTGATTTTGAGATGGATACTGGCACGGAGGCTGAGTGGCTCCTTGTTCCAGTCCACGGACTTTTCTGTGCAGTTTGCATCTTCCCCCTGTGTCTGGGTGCATTTTCCTCGGGACACTCTGGGTTTCTCCATTCAACCCAAAACATGTACTACAGGTAAAATCCTCCATTGAAAGTACAGTAGTCCTGACCAAGATTACCGTATTTTTTAGACTATAAGTTGCACATTATTACTCAATGCATATTTGACTCGTTCTCGTAGGAAATAAAAAAAAACTAACTTAAATTATCCACATTCACATTCACCAAGACAGGGAGGCAACACCGGGCGAGTTACGCCACAATCTGCCAATGGATCGTGGACGCCTGGGCTAAAGGATCAGTCTCAAGTGTCGTCCGTTTTTTTTCACTTAACTCTTTCCCCCATGAAGACGACATTTGACGACCCCCCCTGTTCCCTTAATGACGACTTTTGACACCTCCGCCGTATCACTAAAGACGTGATTTGACGACCTTTAGAAATGGCTCGGTTTTTCACATTTAAACAGAGACTGTGATCGGTGGGGGCCACTACAACCCACACTAGACTGACCATTAGGATTCAAGGATATGTTTTCGCCGATTTTTTCCGAAGTTAATTTAAGTAGTGGCGATGGTAGCTTCCGGAAAAACACAACACGAAACACGTGCAATGGAAAGATCGCACTGCGGCGCACAGTTTAAGAAATAATGAGGAGCAGACGTATTTTATGGATAAGTTTAGAGAAAGTGACTTTTATAGATTTCAAAGTGATGATGAGGGTGATTATAAAGTGGAAAACAGCGATAGCGACGAACTTACAGAGAGTGAATCTTACGAAGATGAGAATGCCGCTGATGCGTCTGTGTGGAGTCCTGCGATATCCGAACAAACTATCCGGGCTTTATACTCGATTATGAACCAAAATTGCCCTGAAATCACTCGTGGAAGTCTGTTTTCTTTTATGCAATTATGCTCTATGGGTAGCCCTAGTAACATATGTATGGGTTGTTCCTAGTAGGCGTCCAGGGGGGAAGAGTTAATGTGCCTTATAATCCAGTGCGCCTTATGTATCAAAATAGACAAAAGAATTCTACATTATTGATATTGTGCCTTATAGTCTGAAAAATACGGTAGCTCAAGATCTGGAGATGGGTCCACTGCTCCTGACAGACTGCCCTAGAAACACTGAAGGATGGGTCAATTGCAGCAGAGTGCGATGAAGTATTCTTGTTTTTGGTCACCCTGGGATAGGTACCGGCTCTATTCACGCTCACGTTACAAAACCGGAAGACGTTTGGAAACATGCGGACATATGACTTCCTTTGGGTTCTGTTGGCGATTGCAACTCTGCCAAATTTTGGGAAAACTGAGAAAATGTCCTGGTTTTCTTCTTCTAGATGTCATTGTATTCTTTCTTTTTCCCTTTTATAATTTGTGTATTATAATTTGTCTAACTTGATTTACAAAAAAAATGTAAATGTTCCGTTATGTTTGGCAGATCAAAAGTTATAACTCTTTGCGTCTCCCATGAAAAGCTTTGGCAGGTTGTACATATACATATAAGACGAATACAAAGCCAATCTTTACCCTACAAAAAAAGGCAATAAGAGCAATCACATTATCAACTTATAACGAACCAACCAATGCATTATTTATAAACCTTCAAACGCTGAAATTTTATGATTTAGTCGACCTGTACACTCTTAAAATCATGTTCAAAGTAAACAACAATCTCCTGTCGAAATCGTTACAGAACATGTTCAAAATCCGAAAGAGCCGATATGAGCTCAGAGGCACGACCATGTTTATTAAAAAGAAAATCAGAACAAACATTATGAAATTTTGTAAATCTGTTAAAGGGGTGGAGCTCTGGAACAACTGTACAGAAAACCTAAAATTGTGCACCACTTTCTTTCACTTCATAAAGAAGTTTAATTGTTACAGATACATGAAATATGAGACTTAGTTTGTGCTGTAGTACTTTGTTGTTCTGTTACTGATTAGCTTGTTTCTTCCTGCTGTATTTATGAAGATGAACTGGTGTCAAGTTGAAGCTCTGACAAAGGAATAAAGGGTAAAGGGCATAATAAGCTTAAGCTTCAGCCTGCACCTTTTCGGTCTGTATATGTTAAATATGACTGTTTATGAATTAATGTCAAAATATACCTGTGACCGAAATAAATAAATAAATAAATAAATAGGTTGTGAAGAAGTTGCTGCTAAATCCATGGTTTCCCAGTGTCGGTAACTACACCAGAAGTCGTCACCCGTATAGTTCCAAGGTTCTTCCGGTAAGCGTGAATAGAGCCTATTCCACACATTCATTTTACACGACGTCTTCTGTCTGTATTTACAAAACACATTTCATAAACTACACTTCAATTTCTAATGAGGCATTTAGGCACGAGAGCTCCTTCTGTTGTTAGTAACAGCAACGAACCATTAGAAAATAAACACATGAAGAGCTTATCCTCCGTGAACAGAGAGACACAAACAGAAACGTGTGTAGGGCGACCAGGATTTCAAAATCAAAAACTGGGACACATGGTTTGGAACGGTTGGTAATAATAAAATTGTGAAATGAGAGCGTAATTAAAGAGAATCGATCTGCAATTGACCCATTCATGACTAACATGAGTCAGTATTAAGGACGGGTATTCGATGAAATTTTATTAATCGATCGTCGGGAGAATTAACGATAGATTTTTCGATTAATCATTAACGTTTTTATATAATAAGTATCATCATTATTATTACTATTACTAATCTGCATAAATAAACTCAACTTTACAACATATAAACCATAAACACTCTAGAAACACATCAGCCCGTTTGACATTAGAATGTGTTTAATGCAGCTTTGCGCAAGTAGAAACGAAACTTAAAACCACATGGATAATTTGCATAAACTAAATGAAGGAAAAAAAACACGCTCTTGTGCACTGATGCGGTTCAGCTTCTGTCGGACTAAAGGACACGGCTCAGTGGAATATGAGTGTTCTTTCTGTGACAGAGGGATGTTGATGCTGAAGGTGAGTCTGTTCTGTGTCTGTGTCGCGATGTTTTCAAAGATCGTACGTGTGCAGGTTTAGTGCAGCTCTTTATGTTGTAGTAACCGGGCTACAGCGTAAACATGCACCATGATGAAACCGGGATACAGATGCGCATGTCAACACATTCATTGAGTGGTACAGTGAGGTGCCAGAGCCCAAACGTGGGACTGAGGCTGCAACTCCAGTGTTTGAACTAGGGATGGGCATGATTAGTCGATTAATCGATAATTGATCGTTAAGAATTTCATTCGTTTATGTTCATTTTAATCGACAAACCGAATGTAGGTTGCTGTGTGTAGCGTAGGGTGACCAAACGTCCGTGTCCGGGGACAAATATCGGTCCGTACATGTAGCTCTCGGCACTCAGAAGGAGCGAGACACAGTCGGTCAGTCTGCAACGTGCCGAAGCACAAATGTGTATTTAACGATGACTTGTATAAGAAATTCCACGCTTTCCGCTCCGGTCGGGACAAGTGTGAGTCCATGTGCACATTGTACAAAGCAGCACATATGTTTCGGTGTCCAGTGGGAAAAAGCTTTGCGAGATGAGAGTCGCGCAATGTCGATGACGAGTCCCCACCTCCCTCCCCCCGTACGGTGTCCTGGTTTTGGCAAACTCAAATATGGTCACACTAACCTGTATTCCACTGAGTTGTGTCACATCAGCGCACAAGTGCTGTTTTTTTTCTTCGCTTAGTTTATGCAAATTAGCGATGCGGTTTTAAGTTTCGTTTCTGTGAGACTTGTGCAAAGCTTCATTAAACACATTATAATCTCAAAAAGGTTGATGTGGCTCTAGAGTCGTTACGGTTTATTTGTCGTAAAGTTGAATTTATTTATGCAGATTAGTAGTGCAGATAGTAATAATAATTATGATAATTTTAATATAAAAACGTTAATGATTAATCGATAATCAATCGTTAATTCTCCCAACGATCGATTAAGAAAATTTTATCGAATGCCCATCCCTAGTTTGAACTGTCAGACGCAGCTTCATATCTACGCCCAGAAACCTACATTCGGTTTGTCGATTAGAAATGAATGCACGACGAAATTCTTAATGATAAATTATCGATTAGTCGATTAATCATGCCCATCCCTAGTCAGTATAGTCACATTTTCTTAGTTTTTTGCTCATTTTTAAGCAGCTTTTCTGTATTTTACCTCAACAAATGACAATGTACGCCTCTCTTTACTATTGGCAGGTATTAAATTGGTCCAAAATAGGGACAACTGGGACATTTCTTGTGTAAAACTGGGACAAATCACTGGTTTTGAATCAATCTGCTGGGACAGAGGACACAGGGCTTAAAACTGGGACTGTCCCGGGTAAACAGGGATGTCGTCCGGTCACCTTAGCCGTGCGTCACGAAACGACTGCAGAACAAGTTTGGAGGCGGTTGACTGCGTACAGAGAAGTCTGGATTTTTATCTGTGACGCAACAATGTACAATGTAAACACAAGATGTTTTCAGTACTCAGAGAAGACAAAAGCAAAAATAAACCTCCAGGTGTGTTTTATTACACGGTTAACAGCTTTTTATTTAGGTTTAGTTTGGCTTCCGTCCATTAGGATCATCGCACCAGTGTCACAAACCATAATCTTGCACTTACTAGAAGTAGATTTGAATTTTCCAGAACCAAAACATCACACAGAAATGTTTACTGTGACTCTGTATTACCTCTTTGAGCTGATCAGCACTGCCCCAGGACGCCGAGCGCTGGTGGCTCCTCTTCTCTGCGCTGTGTTCACTCCAACATCCAGGAGTCTGATGGAAACAACGCGTCAGTATTAGGAACAGTTAAAGATTTGCATTTTTGAGATTGTTAAAATGTCACAGCGTTCACCGTACAGCGTTTTCCACTTGTATACGCAAATACGGGCACGTGTTTGTCTTAAATATTAAAGAAGAACTTGTGAGAAAACATTTACCAGGTTTACATGAGAGTAGGGATGGGCATTCGTTAAATTTTTCTTAATCGATCGTCGAGAGAATTAACGATTGATTATATTAAAATTTATCATCATTATTATTACTGTCTGCACTACTAATCTGCATAAATAAATTCAACTTTACGAGCCACATCAGCCCGTTTGACATTATAATGTGTTTAATGCAGATTTGTGCAAGTCTGACAGAAACGAAACTTAAAACCGCATGGCTGATTTGCATAAACCAGAAGGACTTGAAGACTCTGAAGTGAGTCTCTGTGTTAGACCGGGCACATCCTCCACAGCACCTGCACTGGACTCTGCCCTGCTCATCCTAATGGCTCCGGTCACAGAGCAGCCTGTGTGACCCTCTGCCCCTCCAACCACACACGCCTTTTCTCTCACCACTGTCACTGAACTCACGACTCAGAGATGACTACGATAACTCAAATGTATGTAAAATGCAGTGTTGGGAAGGTTACTTTTAAAATGTATTCCCCTACAGATTACAGATTACATACACCAAAATGTAGTTTGTAATGGAATCCTTTAAATTACTTAAAGTGAATAACGTAATCTGAATACTTTGGATTACTTGGTTTGCTGTAGAGAAGCAAAAACAAGGATATCTTCACATAGGATGTTTTGTCTGCTAAAAGAAAATAAAAAAGCCCAAACTTTACTTAACCAAATTAAAAATAGTACTGATAGAAAAGGAGAAGACACGGTTCACGCAGCATGGTTTAGTCCTGTTAAATCCTGTTTGAGACATAGTTTAGACCTGGTTTTAGTCCTGGTTTAGTCCTGGTTTAGTCCTGGTTTTGTAGACCTGGTTTAGTCCTGGTTTAGACCTGGTTTTAGACCCGGTTTATTGTCCGGCAATGAGTGGAATTACCAAAAAATAAATAAATAAATAAATAATAATAATAAACAAATAAATGTGAAAACAGGAAAACACCTCTGTGTAATCCATTTATTTCAACCAAGTAACTGTAATCCAATTAAAACTCACTTAAACAGTAAATGTAACTGAGTACAGTTACTCTTAATTTGTACTCTGATTACGTAACTCTGGTACATGTAATCTGTTACTCCAAGACTGGTAAAATGAATGCTACTAATGTTACACATGGGATTTTATTAGTACTAAACACAGACAAAAGAACATTAGATTGTGTGTAAACCATGCCACTTGCACCATTTAAATTATGATTCAAATTTGATTGCGTTTGTCCATTTTTTGTAATAAAGTGTGTATTTTAATTTTAATAGAGTCTGGCTTGAAGGTATTGGCAACATGTGCCAAAAACGATAATGTAAAATGAAATTTTGTTGACCAAAAGCAAAATATGCTTCTCAGCTTTCCATTCATTTGGAATTTTTTAAAGTTTCCAGGGGGCGTTGTTGAGTCGGGTTGCTTCAGGCAGTGTTGCAATGCCCATTTTATAATTTAATATTTAAAATTTTTCGCCAGACTGGTCGAGCCCATACCCAGTTTCGAGACGTTTTGTCAGCGTTTAGGCCCTCAAATTCGCTATTGTTTGCAAGGAAAAAAAAAAAAAAAAAAGAAGAAACCCACAAACAGGGCTGGTATCACGAAGTTTCAAGTTTCCGATACACATGTCGATACATAGGCCACGATACGTTTTTCGATACAGTGCATTTTCGATTCAATACGATATATATTTCAAATTGATTGGACACGCTACTGTGAAAAACAAAGTCTAAATCATGGCTGTGATACTAAAAGTCTACTACATCCACTGAGTTTGTGCAAAGTTAATAAAAAAAAAAGACTCAAAAAGGTGAAAATGTCAACACAATTGTAGCTCTTACACAGCATAATTTACTAAAAAATACCTCAAAATAGTCTTGGTGATATATTGATACAGCAGTCCACAATATAAATACTATATCACCAAATTAAACAGTACGATATCGATATTTTAATATTTTTGCACAGCCCTACCCAAGGAGAACAATGAACTACATGAACTTGAAACATTTAGTGTCTTATATAGAGTCTGTGGTATCTACCCTAAAGAAAATGGTGAGTGATTCCGTGAGTGGATAAAACAGCTGCTTCACACTTTTGTTTATGATTAACCTTAAATGCTTTACAGTTAGTTGTAAAGCAGGTCCCAGTTTGACAGTTATTATCACATTGTCACACTATCTTCTTATAGTACGGTTTATATCCCCAGGAACTTCAAAGGTCTTATATTACACAAAATCAACTCTTGTGAACTTTAAGCCATGTTAAAATGCTGTTACCTCGTCAAAAAAACAGATCTGGAGTTGGGTTTTGTTTCATTCACACATGTCTGAGTAATCTTTTATTATTACATCTCCAAAGTTCAGTAGAGATCGGCAATTCCAGGGCTGAAATTATCCAAATGATTCTAGTGACTAGGGTGACCAGATGTCCTTATTTCCCCGGAACAGTCCCAGTTTTGAGCCCTGTCCCCCCTTTCCCAGTGGATTCATCCAAAACCACTGATTTGTCCCAGTTTTATACAAAAAATGTCCCAGATGTCTCTATTTTTGACCAATTTGATCTCTGTCAACAGTAAAGAGAGGCAAAAATTGTAGGGGTGTAAAGATATCCAAGTCTCACGATACGATATCGTCACGGTATGAACCTCACAGTACGATATTTATTGCGATATCGTGGGAAAGCTCACGATTAGAGATGTAACAATATCCAAAACTCTCAATATGATATTTTCACGATATACATCTCACGGTACGATATTTATTGTGATATTTTGTGGAGGCAAACAAACTGTAAATATGCACCTTTTTCCTCTTAAAATGCCTCGACAAGACTTAATCCAAAGAACTAAGACTCAAAAGTGCTTAGAACTGTTATTTCTCCTTCGTCTGCACTGAAATGGAGCAAAGGATCATGGTCTATGTAGTTCCCGCTGTCTTTTTTTTAACTGTTGCTGCACCATAACTTTTAATTTAAGCAAAGAGACTTGTAATTCGATATATTGTGATGGTCCACGATATTATTGTGAGAATTCTGACAATACCCAAAACATGCTACATAGGTCTACATGAACAGTTGATAGTCAAGGTCAGTTAAATACAATTAATTCAATCATTGTGTGTCCTTAGGCAAGGCACTTCACCCCCATTGCCTAGTATGAAAGTGATGTGTGTGCGAGTGATGGTGGTGGTCGGAGGGACTGATGGCGTCGATTGGCATGGCAGCCGCGCTTCTGTCAGTGTGCCCCAGGGCAGCTGTGGCTACAATAGTAGCTTACCATCACCAGGGTATAGAGTGAATGAATAATGTTGAATGAATAATGCTGAATAATGCTCTGTAAAGCTTCTTTGGGGACAGAAAATGTCTGTGAAAAGAGCACTATATAAATAAAGACTTATTTACAATACGATATCATGATATTTCGGTTATTGTTACATCCCTAATAAATCGTCATTTGTTTTGGTAAAATACAACAAATCTGCTTAAAATAGACCAAAACACAAAGAAAATGTGATGATACTGACTCACATGTTCATCATAAGTGGCCTCTGCAGAACAATTTTCCTTAATTACGAAGTCTTTTTCACAATTTTATTATTACCCACCACCAAAAAAAAAAAACGGGGATGTCACAGTTTTTTATTTTGAAATTCTGGTCACCCTACACATGACAGTTTCAGTTTGAGAGAAGAACTCAGCCTAAATATGCAGGTTTGTGTGTTAAACATGTGTGAATGAAACAAAAAAACACAGCTCCAAGTCTGTTTGTGATGAGGAAACAACATTATAACTTACTGCAGATCAGAAAATTACATAATATTGGCCCTTTAAAAATAGTCGTGCTGAAAACATGACTTGCACTCTCCACAAATAGCTGACATGGTTTGATTATCTTATCTGTTCGGTAGAAAAACATGTGGTTGTCCTCACGCAGACGGTCACTATGGCAACAGAGAGGCTAAGCATAATGTTCCCTCCACACTCTTTCATGTGTTCTGGTACATCCACCTGCTCTCCAACGTGCCGGCCCAGCGTGAGTCATAAACCGCTCGAATGCTGATACTGTTAATGTTAACGCTAAACACCATGCTGTCATTATATTTTTATTTTATTTATTTTTATTGAGTAAACAGTATGCATATTTCACTGTAGAGTACTCTGCCCTACAACTCGCCACAGGGTGAAACTAAGAGAAAAATGACTTAAAAGTTTAGGTTTTGTCCAGACAAATGTTTAATAGGTCGGGCTCCCAAAATATGACAATTAGTTGCTATTAGGGAAGTGCTAAAATATAGAAATATTGTTTAATTTGATGATACAGTATCGATATCGTGGGCTGCTGTATCAATATATCACCAAGAGTATTTTTAAGTATATTTTACTGAATTATTTTGTGTAATTGTGTTGATATTTTCACCGTTTTGAGTAAAATTTATGTTTTTCATATTAACTTTGCGCAAACTCAATGGACTCAGTGGAGTATTTTTTTGGTAAATTTTACTAAATTATTTTCATACAGAGCTACAGTTTTGTTGTTTGTTCAAAGGAAGGAAACTTGTTTATGCAACAAAACTGACATATTCACTGTTTTGATGATTAAAACAAGCTTTTTTCATATCAACTTTGCACATATTAAGTGGTTTAACTAAGACTTTTAGTACAACAGCCGTGATTTAGGCGTTATTTTTTTATGGAACTGTATTGAATCGATTTGAATTATATCGTATTGAATTGAAAGCTCACTGTATCGAGATATGCATTGTATCGTTGCCTGTGTATCGCTATATGTATCGTATTATGGCCTGTGTATCGAGGTATGTATCGTATCGGCAACTTCTTAA